AGTTGTCTAGCCTAGAAAAAAGTAGAATGAGGGGAGACCTCATCGCTCTCTATAACTACCTGAAAGTAGGTTGTAGCGAGGTGGGGGTTCAGTCTCTTCTCCAAAGTAACATGTGACAGGACAAGAGGCAGTGGCCTCAAGTTGTGCCAGGGGAGGTTTAGATTGGATGTTAGGAAAAATTTCTTCACAGAAAGTGTTATCAAACATTGGAACAGGCTGGCCAGGGAAGGGGGGGGAGCCGTACCCTATCCCTGGGCGTACTGAAAAGATGGGTAGATGTGGTGCTGAGGGACATGGTTTAGTGGTGGGTTTGGCAGTGTTAAGTTAATGGTTGGACTTCGTGATCGTAAAGTTCCCTTCCAACCTAGAGAATTCTATGATTCTGTGATTCTAAATGGAAGAAGGACCAGGTATTGAGGAATTAACACCGTAATGAAATAATTTTCAGGAAATATATTTAATGCAAAATGTAAAAAATTAATTCATTATAAAGTGAGTTCATTAATGGTACTGTTGTGGTAGATTCATGTACATTGCAGCTGGAGATACACTTGAAAAACTTTGGGAAACTTTTCTTTGCATAATGCTATTTGGAGCTAACATGCTTTCCTTTTAGGGATGGTGAATCGGGAAGTTCTGGAACAAGTGGAACGTGGCTATAGGATGCCTTGCCCACAAGGCTGCCCAGAGTCTCTCCATGAGTTAATGAAACTGTGTTGGAAGAAGGACCCTGATGAGAGACCAACATTTGAATATATACAGTCTTTCTTGGAGGACTACTTTACTGCTACAGAACCACAGTACCAGCCTGGAGACAATTTATAAGCCAACAGTCTATCTAACATGCACAAATTTGCCAAATGTAAAAGACTTGCAAAGAATTCCTGACGTCTATAAGGAATTAAAGGAAAGAAAATCTTCGCTACTTTGCATGCTCTTAATGGCAAACTGGAATTTCATAATGCAGTTGCACAAAACCACTTTTCAAGTGTTATAATCTAATTTACCAATGAGATGTTTTTATTTTTTTTCCTCTTTCCCAACTTATTTTCAGGGTCCAAAGGAAGCTTACTGAAAATACAGGGTAGAAAAATGAGTGTTGGTGTGAACAATAGCAGAAAAACCAGTGTTTCAAATCCTTTATTTTCCCAACATTTGATAATCATTCTACTAAAGAGGGAATTATCTGGAATTAATGATCTTGGGATAAGACATTTTTAAAGCAGAAGAACTTTGTGGGACCAAGCAATTCTATTCCAGTTCTGTAAAACTCCCTGTGTTCAAAATTACACGTGTGTGCCCCCCGCCCACCCCCCCAAAAAAGATGGTACAACTGTATTTGATATGTAGTCTTGATCTTTAAGCTTCCTCTTGCATGGACTTAATTAGGGTAGGCAGGTTAAAAAAGAAATTGAAACAGTGAATGACAAACTTGATCTAAATGGTAAACCTCAATAGTGAAATTAGAGAGCGTAATGCACTGTGTTAATACTTGTATTAATGTAACTGGAAAGTAGCATGAGAGATTTTTCTTTTTTCTTTCTGCGTAGCTAATTAAGAATAATGAAGGTAACTAGAAAATGAGGTAATATTTTATAAAACTGTGTTGATAAAGTATGATGGTATTTGAACTTGAAGCTATGTAATACAATCAGGGGGGGAAAAGCCTTTAATCTTTTAAGCTCCAATCCAACAGCGAGCTTTTGTATGGGAAGACTACCTGAACAAAGCTCACCAGGAAAGCAAGGCTGAAGTTGGTAAATGGCCACTGTTTAGTCCTTTTTCAGAGACAGGTTCAGTACTGTTGTATGTGGCTTAAAATTAACAAGGGTGGGTGCCACCAATGCTAGCTGTCACTAGTTCAGGGATTTGATTGCACTTTTGCTTTTCTTGACTATTAAGACACACTTACACACAGTTGCTCTTCCCATTTCTGCCCTTCCTACAGAATTATTTAACTAAAAATAAACAAAAGAAAATGTGAAAGTTTAAAAACTAAAGGGATAAAATATATTTAATATTGTCCGAATATAGTGACATGGAAATTTGCTGGCATTCAGCCCAGCTGACACTACATCTAGATTTATCTTCTTTGGCTACTGACATATCAAGCAATAACATCATGTCTTTTACTCAGCAATTTGCATGAGGTTCGCGAATTTCTGATCAAGCTTATGTACTTCAATTTTGAAACACTAAACTCTTACTTAGCTACCAGGTTGGAATTCATACTATCATTGTAAAGCTAGCCAACAAATGAATTTCAGAAAAGCTAGTAATATAGTTCTGGTACTAAACTGAACATTCTTCATGGGTTTACACTACATTGAATCCAACTACCAAACAGACCTTTGTAAGAACAGTGCCATCATTTTTCATTTTCCCTCATCATCGCTCATCACCTGTACATCTGTGGTTATCAAATTTTAAAAGGGCTTTATGTAAGAAAAACAAAAATAAAACAAAAAAACCCACATATGAAAAAAATAATCAAAAAAACCAAAAAATACAATGGCATTTTAATTTTTCTAAATATTTTAAATGAATAACACAATCATATGAGTTTATGTATTAATACAGTTATAACAAAAAATGCCAAAAATGACACTGGCATTGTTTGGATTTTTAATTACTGAATGGAACAGTTCATTGTAATAACACTTGTATAGTAAAGGAATAAAACACTAACTTAATGAACGTGTTCATTGTAAATGGTTGTGTATTATAAGACTTCTCCAAAAGAGTTTGTATGTTTATGAAAATCTATTTGTTTCACCTGAAGATCTTGATGTGGTTCTTACCCTAACAGAGTTTAAAATTCACATTCACACTTTTTATATAAATAGTAATAAGTTTAATTATGTAACTAAGTATTTTTATAAAGTATGGCATTGTTGAACTGTTTTGCAGAATTGGTTCAAAATAAATTTCTCCTTGATTGCATCTGCTTATTTGGGAGGGGGAGGAGGGGCGGCGGGAGACGGGAGGGGGACAAAAGCAGAGCAGCTTTCATATTGAGGGGAAAAAGGAGGGTAATAAAGCCTCCATGAGTTTTGAGTGTTGTTTTTTTCCTCTGTAAACTATTTTAATGTACTTTCATACAGGATGCTGGGTTCATGGTGTGTTATTGCTGCAAAAAGGGGGATGTTTTCTAGAGCAGTTCAGAAGTCTTTGGCAGGAATGGGCTAGAATAATCCTGTCTAGACTTAAAACTAACCCTTGTGATGGACAGACAGATTGGCGATTCTCGTCAGAGCAAGTCCAATGTAGACTCTCAGCTAGTGGTCACTGCCATGCTGTAGGGCAAACATTTTTCCTCTCTTTTGCTTTATCTGGTATTAGCAGCCACTGTTGACTTCTGTGCCATTTTTCAGGGAATTTTATACATTTGGTCTCGTGATAGCTGATGTTGTATCTCAACTTAATTGAATGGTACCTGTCTCAATGATCAGTACAACTCAAACTGCAAATCCTGACATATATATATACAGTGCCACTGTAGATTAAAGAGTTGGTACTGTTTGACTTTCAATAATAACTAATGCAGCACTAAAACCTATTCTTACAGAATCTACAAACTTCAGAGTTTATTGTATTTTTAATATTTCCTGTAATGCAATTAATGTTTTGCTATTTTTAATGACAACAATCCTGTAATTTCTGCTAATCTGCACTCTCCTTGTTGTTCATCAGAACCTTGTGGTACCCATTCTGCATGCTAGGCCTGCAGATTGTTTCTGACATGCGTTGTTTCAAGCTGTAGTATTTTAAGAATATTTTCATACTATTTTTGAGTAAACTTCCAAACATAAAAATGTGTGCAGTCCTACTATTTAGGTAAAAATACATCCCTATTTTAGCATAAAGCATTACGAAAAGAACCTTATGTGTTCTTGTCCTTGCAGACCCTGAATTGTCATTTCGCTAGGGTTATGAGTAGCTCTTACCACTGGAAAGTACCCTTTGAAAGGTCATTTTCTTTTTTTTCCCTTAAAAAAAAAAAAAAAAGCAGCCTCCTAGAGTTTGCTGACTGGTAGAAACAAGCCGGAATGTTATCTTACACATAGTCATCTACAATACTGTTTCTTCTAAAACACATTATCCACAGCTGGAATGAGTATAAATGAATATAAACCAACTAAACTCCATGAGCCTCCACTTTGTTATTTATTTTGATCTATTCAATCCAATAAACTTCTCATTTTTTAAGCTTTCTGTGAAGATGCTGTAGATGTTTGTATTTGTGCCAACTTTCACCCAACACACAAGGTTTAGAGCTACCCCGTCATGTTGGGTTTAAACCACAGGAGCACTCACGGTAAGCAGTACATTGCTAACAGGAGATTGACATTCTCACCCCTTGCTAAGGAATTTAAGACTAAATTTGAGTAACTGATTTGTGCACCATAAGCAGGTCTGGGTGGATAACTGCAGATGCCCAGAATTGTGATTCATCCAATAGCAATTGTCTTGTGCAGTAGGTATTTGGACTGTATTTGTGCAGGTGCCTTCACAGCATCGCATCTTGCACCTACCTCAGCCTGATCCTAATGCAGGAGCAAGACTGCCATTGACCTGCAGGTGCTGCAGGAGGCTGGCAGTCAGCGCAGGGCTGGGGACCCCCGTCATGCGCATCACTGGCAGACTCACCTTTTCAAGACGGCGGGGGAAGAGATGGTAGATGGGAATGGGATGGTTGTATCTATTTTTAATGTAACAGTCTCGAGTGTAAAACCTGGGTTCTGATCAAGAATCTGGGATAGCTGGTGGATCTTGTACAGGTGGTTGTCAGCTGGGAAATGATGTTGTTGAGAGTGGGGAGCAGAACCCACTGCAGGACTTCACCTGCAGCTACAGGCTTAAGCCTTTGTTCCAGCACCAGGTTCTTTTTTTTCTGCACTTTTCCCTACTGACACAGGGAGAGTGTTAGCTGGAGAAACATCAATGGCTTCCCTGCTTCTCCCTTAGCATAGGGGAGGGAAAGGGAGAGAGACGGAAGGATGGAGGTGAGCAGCTAAGTTCTGCACTCCTTCACAGGGCAGAGGGAAGCAGGTTGAGGGGTGCGGCGTAGCAGGTGTCATCTGTTCTCTCTGTCCTATTTTGAAAAGGAGGTAGAAACGTAGGGGAACTGAGGAGCACCTGTTCCCTTGTGCGCAGTGGAAATGGAGCAAAGGTTATGAATGCCAAGTGCTGCTTCTGTTCTCTGTGGTGATTCTGGTCAGCTCACCCTGAGTGGTTCCTAGCAGAGCTCCTTCATATTGGTTGGGGAGTCCCAATACAAGAAGAGAGCATCGTTTTGCTGTCATATGTAAGAATTAACCTTGATCAGCTCTTGGGGCGGGGAAAAAGAAAAAAAAGACACAGAGAGCCTAACCAGAGAGATACTGGTCCTTAGATCCCAAATTGACAGGGATGCTTGCCTCTGGAGATCAGCCCCAGAGTGATGGCATTTCAGACACTCCGGCAAGTAGCTTAGCATTTCTTTCCTAGTGGATGTACGTAGATGTAGGATTTTGTGTTAGGTTTCCCTCCTTTCCATGTGGGTATGGCATGCCCAGGAACTTAACAGAGTTCAGGTGTTACCCATGAGACCAATGTTCTTTTCTGGTCCTACTCTTTGAGCTTATTTTCACTGTTAGCTCTGCATGCAAATGTGCTTCTTGTAAGTAGCACGTTGGTTATTTTTTTTTTAACACTCTCTTTTTATTTAAAGGCATGGTTTTTGTCAAATTTTAACAGCCACTGTTGTTGGGGGATTAAAGTATTCATAGCACTGTGTACTTTTACAGAACATTGTGCATCTCCTCTTATTTAATTTACTTTAGGTGAGTAGAAACACGTATTGGCCATCATGTTGCTTTTGATTTGTTGTTCTTAAAGGAAAGAGGACCGTTACCTAGTTAAACTCAGCAGGGTCTGAGGAACAGACTGGAAATGTAAAAGGGAACTCTGAATACAAGTGCTCTTGATGAATCGATCATGTACTAACACTGAAGCTGACTGCTGTGAAAGCATTGCTTTTTTTTTTTTAATCAAAAAAGCTACTCCCAGTAGGAGCACTTCACTCCTCTCCTTTGTGCTTTCCCACTAGGTTATTGTCTTTCTAGCTGAGGCTACTGATAAGTATATACTGGGAAATGGGTAGATCTGTGCATCTTGCATTTGGCCCTGAAAATCCATCCCATGCATGCTAACAACTCACTTTTTTCCTGAACCTCAACAGGTGGCAGCTGCTGCATTCACCATTCATTCAATACCTCCACATTTATTCACATTTGGGGCAGCCTTCCAAGGGGCTCCGAGGCTGACGATCCTTCTCTTGGCTTCAGTGTTTGGAAGCGCCAGGGTTGTATTCGCTGGGTGAGGAAGCATTTCTGCTCTTTCAAAACCAAAAAAGGATAGATCTCAGCTCAGCATGACTCCTCTGATGAAAGTGCCACAAATAAGGAGAACCTCTAATCATTTGACTGCTTCATTATGAAAACAGTGAGGATGTCTCCCTGCTCCTCCAGCAACTGTGGAATACGCCACGCACAGAGATGCTCAAGGTCTGTTGTCAAACAGTAAATGACCATGCTAGATTGCAGCCCCTGTTCAGTCCTGGCAAAGAGGCCAACTCTGTGGTTCTGTCCTTCTGGAGTTCCCAAGAAAAGGCAAGAGTGTTGGCTCACATTTCTAAGAGCAGAAGCTGGTGACTAGATGACTTACATCCCTTACATCCTCTACCCACCTTCCTCTCCTCTCTTCTCAGTTCTAGCCTAGGTGCTGCTTCTTCACCACAACTGACCGTTTTTATTTCTCCATCATTTGGCTGGGCAGTTATAGCATGAAAACATATGAGAATTAAAGAGTAGAAGTCTTTAGCAGCCTTATGTACCATCTTTTTTTTTTTTTTTTTCTTTTTCTTTTTTAAATAGAAGGTGCCTGGCAAATTGAGCAGCCTCATTGTAGCAAGGTCAGATCCATAGCACTTTCACTGGAGCTTTGGTTTTGATCTATATTACCCTTTTCACTTCTGGAATGGCTCCATCTCTCAAATTGGCTTATGAGTAGCATAAATGTGTATTCTTTCCTTTGTGCTAAAAGACTGCAAGTACAATTGAAATAGTTTCTGTATTTACATTTTAATTTAGTGTTATTTGTTAAGGCGACTGCATCAAAATCTGTGCATTTAATCTTGCTGCCTTCATCAAAGGACTACCGTTTGCAAGGGGAGTTTTTTTTCCATATGAGACTGAAGTTCAATCAATAGCTTCAGTGGGTTTAAGGTTATAAGAAGTACATTACTAATAGGCTAAATATAATCTCTGGCACCATTGTCATTAGAGGAGCCCCAGCCGTTTCAGGCTGCTACTAAGTGTTCTGAAGAGCAAGTGTGTGTATACTTAGGAATAGGTATACTCCCTGAGTTAAACTGATCATAAAGGCAAGAAGGAATGACCCTCTCTGCAGCTTGGGGCTGACAAATGGCATTTAGGAAAATAGTGAGATACACATCCCCTTTGACAGGCCAGCCTGCCTTGTGCAAATGCTCTTGATTCATTGACAAAATAGCACAACCCTCATTTGTTCTTTGCCACAGGACAGAAACTGTTACGCTAGGCAATAGGCAGAAGTCTACTGATACACAGCATCTCTCTTCAGGGTTTCCAAGGCATCTTACCCTTATTACCTAATATATAGCATTTCTCACTCTCAAATACTTCACAAATGACACCAGTTTCATCATCTCTGGAAGGCAAATTAAGGCAAGGGGAGAAGAGGTATTTTGATTCACCCAGGATCAAGTTGAAGACCGTGACTGAGCAGCAGCCAGAATCCAGTGTTTGGTCTACTGGGAATTTCCTTTCAGATGAGCAGCTTTTAGCATCACCTACCAACCTCAACTCCTGCGTCTTGAGACATGATTTCCTAAGAAAAAGCCTGCAGGGATTTCCCATTATGCCCCACAATGGACACCTGAGCTACTCCAAAAAAAATGGAAAAACCTGGGTAAAGCCTGTGGGCACTGCGCAGCAATCTGGCTGCCACAAAGCCGGTGTATCAATCATTATGTGCAGACAGCATGGAGCTTGTGGTGGAAAATCCTGCCAGCCCCTGGCATGCTCAGCTAGCCTGGGTGGCCCTAGGATGCAGCTAGCCACCACACAGACAGCCCACATGTGAGTAAGTGCTTGACCTCGGCCTTTGAGGGTGGCAGTGACCTCCAGCTGCATCTGCTTCACCAGCTCGCTGGGCTGTCACATCTCGGACACCGTGGTACGCGTGGTCAGGTGGGCAGGAGGCTTTTGTTAGGCAAAGCAGTTTGTTATGACAGGACACAGCTGCAATGCTGTTCCATGAGCAGTGCCCAAGTGAGCACATGCACAAGTTTCTCTGTGGTTCTCCTTGCTCTCTTCTTGTACCAGATGTAACTTCCATATGTAACTGTTTTGCAACAGTGCTTTAGAAGGGCTTTCTAGTGCCCTCTCAGCCAGTCCATGTCCTAGAATATAGAATGAGCAATTCCTTCTTTGTCACTCAAGTCTGGTGTTTCGCTGATGCTGCTGAATATGTCAAAACCCTCTAAGCAACCAGCTGAACACCCACAAAACCTGTGACTTGATGATATCATGCTTTTTCCTCCTTCAATCTACCTCTAAAATTGTTTCCTACAGAAATGTCTACAACTTTTTTTAAATCACTTAGCAATCTGGCAAGTACATACTCAGTTATTTTAAGCTTCTTTAAGGATAAACCATTATCTTTAGTCAGCCTAAGATTGGAGTCTGTGTATCACCTGGTCTGTTATAATATAAGATGCTGAACACCCTTCTGTCATCATGAGTGAAATGTGCTTGGTATAAGCTGCCTAGATACATAAATGACCTCAGCCACTGTAGTACGTGGTTCATCACACCCAAGGAAAGTGGGATGGGATGTCCTTCGCACACCGCAGGTAGGAACAGCAAAGGAGCTGAGACACAGGCGAGTAGTGTCTTGCCCAGAATCACACACAAAGGTTCTTACAAAACTGAGATTCAGACACTGGTTTCTAAGATCTCAAGCAAATACCCTGAACAGGGGAGACCTCACAGAATTGGAATCATGGACTCATATTTCTTAAGACTCTCTTTATTCCATGCTGCTAAAGAAAATGATGGTTGGCACGAGGCTTCATACTGTGCCTGTCCTTTCTCTGACATTCTGCAGTTTGCTAGACATGATTTGCGTGTGGTTTACCCTAACAAAAACTCTTGCTGGGAATATATGTTGACGTTGAATAGTGGTATGTAGGACTGGAAAAAAACAGAATTCAGCCTCAGCCCTGAGTCTTGGGAACTCGAAACAGCTGGACCACGACTGCCATTATCTCACTGCCAGAAACACAATGCCTTATGAGGAAATAGGAACTTGAACATGACTGTAATTACTAAAACAACTCTGTTAGACACAGCAGTTGCTTGAAAGGGATGGTATATAAAGGCGCTCTTATTTATAGAAACACTGTTTTCCTTGGAGGACATGTGATCTGACGGTCTCTGTCTCTAACAGTGTTCTGGGCTGTCGGTCTAGGGTGGCTGTTTTCTTCCTCTGTGGAGTGGGATGCGATACAGGAGCAACTCTTCATCTTGAAAGCCTTTCGTAATTATTAAATTATTTTTTTTTGGAGGAATGGGTCAGCATCTGGAAACAAGCAAGTATAAGATGAAACATGGCCCTGCAACTAAATTGACAGTGCCCACCCAGACCTGGGTGCAAAGTAAATGGTTCCATGCTGATACTTCAAATTCATGGACTATCAGAAAAGGTTAGTTCTTGAAGTATCAGCTGAGGAAAGAGCTCACAGTCATTCTGTTACAGGCAGTGAATTCTGCTATGCTCTCCAGTCATATGTGCTGCCAAGGCTTGCTTTATTCACATGGTCAACAGACACATGGGAGAAATTGTCAACAACTTTGTAGACTTCTACAGAGAGCTCACTGGTTGTGAAAAGGATAGTAAGAAACATACAAGTTGTGCATTTTCACAAAATATTTGCATTTTTAATCTTGGAAATTGGGAATCTATCTGGTGCTAAGGCAAGCCAGTGTGAAAGTGACAACTCAGAGAGTTCCAGGTGGGTATTTGATGCAAGTTGCACATTCTAGCATCTACTTCTTTTGTAATTTTTAACCAATATAGATTCCTCCTTTTTTTCCAGTATCAGTGGCTTTTCCCCTTGCTGTGTTATCAACAGTGCTGTCTTTTAATCTCTGGCGAACAAAATATCATTTAACAGCAACTGAGACATCAGTGAGTATCAAACCACCATAGGTGACACTGGTGGATGTACATTTGTTTGCTCAACAAATTGGACCAGGGGAGGGTGCTGTGCACTTGGCCGTAGCTGCTGTCCCTTATGCTCTGTGGGACAAGCGAGAGGGAAAGGTAATGCTCATGGGATCTCAATATAGGAATGCTCATTAATTCAGAGAGATTCCCTGTTCCTAGTTGCCCTCATTTGCACATCTGGTCTTGATTTTGCAGTAATTTATACATATGTTTAGCTTTAAAATGTCAAATAAAGTACAGGCATCACAGAGTTCTTGGTGACTCTGCACACGCTTAATTTTTGCAGGATGGGAAATTGTAGCAACTGCGCAGTGCTTAGTAGTGGAATTGGTCAGAACATTTCAGAGTCATTTTGTTCGAGTTGTGGCATTTCTGAAAAAAAAAAAAAAATTTAGTCTAGCCCTGCTTGTCAGATGATTCTCTGTATGCCCCCCTCTTGATTTCATCTTTCTTACTTGGAGGTTTTAATCCTTTAGCCACTTCTCTATTGAATATGCTGTTGATCTGGGAGCCAAATCTTGTATATTTAGCATGGTACTGGATAGTAAAAATAGCCTATTTAGGCAGTGAAGTGAGCAGCCATAATGATGGCCTGGTTAGAAGGGGAAATTACTGAACAAAAGATGTTGTCTACTTAAAAATACTGACAGAGAAAGGGCTCCCAGCCTGGAACTGTGAGCCTGGGGACTAGCCCTGTGAAACATAAACCCCAACTTTGAGAAGTGCAGCTGGCCTCTTAGAAGTGCAGGCAGGGTACCTAGAAACTGGAGTCATCCACAGATACCACTGATGATCGCAAAACAGGGAACTGTAACAGCAATTTATCACCTGAGAAGGTGGAAAATAGTCTGAAAAATAAAAATGCTCTGAAGGAACAGAAAACAACACCACCTATTGGCTGTTACAGGTGAAAAATAGAAATTAACAGCACCTATTGGCTGCTCAGTGTCCTACTCCGTCTTATGTCCCTGTGATATAAAAAAGATTTCATTTTTCCATTTTTATCTAAAATAGAGACTCTCTTTCTGAGAAATTCCTGGTTCAATCCCACACAAACTTTCTATGAGCTCTTTGGCTCTCCGCAGTGATGCCTAGCTGAACTAGAGTCTATGATGCGGATCATTTTGGAAGTGGGACACTGCCTGCTGGCCTGTTGGCTTGGTCTGTTCCGCCCTGATTTGGGGATGGTTGGTCCCCCTCTGGGATCTGTTTGTTTTCTCCTTTTGGGATGGTTTGGCTCCTCCTGAAATCTAATTCACTTCATATTGATATTATGTATATTCGTATAAGTAATATATCATAAATCTGCTGTTATGTTGTTGATAAGTTTGCTTCATTAATGATAAGCTGTAGCAACCTCTAATAGTATGTAACTACCTGGCTGCTGCTGTTACTGGCTGTACTACAACACTAATTGATGCTACTATTGATTGATACTACATTATGGATTACTGATAGTAATTTGTAATAGCTTGATATATATTCATTCATATTCATTTTATTAATCATAGGTATGTTTGCTAGTGGCATTTTTTCTGGTAGTATGCTTGCTTGTGGTGATTTTTGTGGTATTTGTGGTAATCTGTAATAAAGTAGAGAAATTTGGAGGACAAAGCTTCCATGCCCTTGCAAATTACAGAATCGTGATCTCTCCACACCTGTAGGCCAGGTAACCCTTTAGGTTGTGACAGTCAGAAATTGGCCTTTTGCTCTGTGAACTTAAAACCCTCGGTATGGTGGAGTCCTAGTCCAGAAGTAGCACTTCAGACCCCTGCAGGAGGAGAAATAATACCTGATACAATGGTGCTGTGGCCATAAGATGACAGGCACAGTTGGACGTGCTTTCCGTTTGCAGACCTTCTGATTTAAGAGGGCAGAAACAGCAAAAAGCTGTTGGTAGCACTGACTGGAGTCGCTGCTGTGCACGCTCACGTACCATGTGGCTTGGGACATATCACCACACTGCCCTGACTGCAGAACTTGCAGGGGAGAGCGGGCTTGAGCCCCACCGGTTCAGGCCTGCCACCGTCCACTCCTGTCTTCACTTCTGCTCTGTTGGATTGAGTCTTCACGTATCATTGCTTGTGAAAGCAATCAGCAACCTTCAGCTTGCCAAAGCCCAAGAGCAAAATGCAGCCCAAAAGTGGCTCATGAAAAAATTCACAAAATTCCCCAAATCTTATATGTTGAAAGGGTAGTTTGTATGACGAGGATTTCCAGCAAGGGAAGGGGTGGGAGGGAAGGTCACCATTTCAGAAAGCTGTTATGAGGCTCTTCTTTTTTTACTAATAATCGTTCCACAGTACTGCTTCCATAATGAAACCAGGTTAAGAAGGATACTCAATCCTTAATGATATTCAGGGGAAAGTGTCAAACGTTCTTGCTTGGGGCTGAGAACCACATTGCTTTGGTGTCAGTAATTAATTCTGTGTGACAAATGTAAACACACTTGCACTTCATGACACTTCCTCATAAAGAAGAAAGCATCTGCGTGTTATCTCTTTTATGACGTCCGTATGGTTCCAGTTATTTAATTTGGTTTGTTTCCTAGTTCACGTGGAAATTACTAGTCAACTTGGTAAGGAAATCTTGTTACATTTCCAGCCTAAAGGCCACTGGGCCCTATTGTTTTTAACTGTATTAGAAGAGTATGTGTTTTTGTTGGTGTCCAAACTAAAACGGTCTTAACAGCTCCTTTCAGACACAAGCTGTTTCCCTGGCAGTGGGTGTTAATTTCTGCTCAGAGGTGTCCTCTTCGTGTGTCCGTGTCCACCCTTACGCACACCAGCCCCTCTTCCAGGGAAGTTGTATCGCTTGTCTTGTCTGGCTCGAGCGCCGTAGCTGGCAGCGGGAACTGATGCTGACTGCTAACAGGAAGCTGTGTACTTACAGATTGTGCTTTAATCTGTAGGTCTTTGTTTAAGGTTTGGCAGAGGAGCTGCTTTTCTTCAAGTTCGGATAACTGGGGGGTTGATTTACTTTTTTTTTAATTACCACGGGCTTTTTTTTTTCTTTTTTTTTTCCAAAATAACTTCTTTACTGAAAACTAAACTAGCTACTGAAAATCAACAACTAAAATTGAACAGCATATGTTACCATTGTCTGCTAGCAAATGCTTGGGCCTGGTGTGTTGATCTGTTTGCTGAAGTGATCAGTCATTTTGGGGCCATTCTGTTCAGTTTTAAGATCTAAAAGAGCTTGTTCTAAAAGAACCTTTTTTTTTTTTTTCCCCTTGAGGGCAGGAGGTGTGACAACAGGGGTGCTTCTCTGGCTTAATTTGACAGCTGAAAAGTGTGACTTGGCTTTCCTGTTTAATTTTTTACTCCTGCTTGGATAAAGTTTAAAAGGAAGCTGAAAAAAAAGCTTATTATCAACTGTCCACAGCCATGAAATTAGGCACACACTTAGACATTTGGCAGCGCAACACAGGCTGATGAGGTGGGTTGGGTGTGTGTGTGTGTTAGAATATCTGCTGTCTCAACTCCCTGCTTGCTTCAGAGAAACAGGGGAAAGATTGGCAGCCATTCCTCAAGTGACTAGCATTACTTAATGTTTTTTTCATCATACTGTTTTATTATGTTATGCTTTTTTTTTTTTGTTTTACATGTCATCCTTCAGTCTGGTTGCCAAACAATCACTGTTCTGCACGACTTCAGATATATTACTGATGTGCTAACAGATGAAGAAACTTATGCTAAGCCACCTTTCTTCAAAGCTGGACTTTGGTACCCTCCATCCTCCTAATCCTTCAGTTGTCTCATCAGTTTTGGTGGGAGTAGCTCACTCAGGAATACACCACCAGCCTGTGAGACTAAGACAGGTTGGAGGGACAGCCGTTATGATGAAATCTGGAGCACCAGGAGTTGTTGTTGTTCAGTGTAATTTGATATTTATACTTGTTCCCCTCCAGAAATACTCCAAAATGGCCATCTTAGGAAAAAGGGAAAGGATGAGCTTAAACAGATCTGTGTTCTGCATCACTTAGAGAATGGGAAGGGGACTGTGTGAGGTGAAGCCTGTTGTTTGCTGGCATCTTCTCACGTGTTCCAGGAGCACAAAGTCAGACCTTCAGTTTGTGCTACATTGGTGACTTTTTGCCATATAACTCTTTGTGTTGGGTTAGCAAGGAGATTGCGCTGTTCTCTGCTTCTTCCAAGGATTTATCTGGTTTGCAGTTCTCTTGCAATGAAATAGCTAGGGAGAAATTCAGCAAAATTGACCTATTCGATTTGAAAAAAAAAAAAAAAAAAAGAAGTCAAACACCTCCAATCCTTCACGGTCCCCAAGGAACAGTCTTTGATGCACTATTTAACAAAATAATTTTCTGTTGACTAAAACACAGCCTGACTTGAAACCATCCTCATCTGCTTCAGAACAGCAAATGTTGAAGCATGGATATCTGGCTTATACAATATCCTGTGCCCAGCTGGGCTACTCAGACCAGCAGTTAAGACAGGTTTGAATGTTCAATCTTAACAATAGTAAGATTTTAAATGGTATGTGAAGTGGGGAAATGCTAACAGATGATGATCAGTTCTCACTGCTCTTAAACACTTAGAAGTTTTGCTGGACTGAGTAAAAATGTAACATTTCAGATCCATTTTGGGAGGTAAAAAGCAGGCCCAGTGCCATTTAAGTAATTTTTCCAGTAAGGCAGTCCTGTCTATGATCAAGGATATACCCAAGGAATATGAGTATTGAGAACAAGGTATTAAGGTAGAAATGGAAGTCTCCTTGTGTTGGTATATTGTGTATAACAGTGAGTTTGCATGGGTGCAGCTGCGTTGGTTTAAACAAGGAACTTATGCGCATAAGGATACTCAGGAGAGTGATATGGATTAGCCAAAAGTGTGATCATTAAGAGTGTTAATGAAAACACATAAAATCTGTGCTTGGATAGCTATGTTCAGAAGCCCAGTGCCCTTAACCTGCAATAACTTCATAGATGAGAAATGGGGATGTTTCCTTTGTAGACAACATGAACCTTAAAAGTTTGATAATTGATGGTTTCTTCTAGAACTTCTGGTTGCCTTGGCTGTGAAGGATACTCTGAAACTGTCAGCAGCAGAGGGCCCTTATCTTCCTTCCTAAAGCAGCATTCTTATTGCCAGAGAGAGTTGCAGGTGCTTGGCTTTCTGTGAAAGCTTTTGTCAGTTTATTGGTGTCAGATTTAATTAATACAGCTGGGATTTATATTCTGGGAAATAAACGCCTTGGTATATCTAGAAGTAGTGTTGCCGAGTCATGGGATGTTCATACCTGGATTGGAAAAATTTACTGTATATTACAGCTAAGCTGAGCTGAGGAGTTTGGTCCAGGTGGATGTTATTCATATATCTGATCTCATTTTCTGATTGTTTTCTGCTACCTCATAGGAAGAAATAAAAAGCTTATTCTTAGTCTGAAAGTGTGTAGATTAATATTATTCTAGATACAGTGTGGTAGTTATTTGGAGGATGCTCTTAGTCACACAATATAGTGTTAGGTAGTCCTGCGAGGAGCAGGGAGTTGGACTCGACGATCCTTATGGGTCCCTTCCAACTCGAGATATTCTATGATTCTATGTATAATTGATGTAACTTTGCTTGCAGTTAGGCGCATAAGCCTTGAGAGAAGGCTGGGCAACATATAGCAAACACTTGTACTGAGTGTTATTTTTCTGTGTTTTAAGCTTTGAACAGATGGACTAGACCTAGTCAAATTCTTTGAGGTCTATGATATGGGCAGTGATGACTTTGCTTCTGTATCTCGCTCAGACACTTCCCCCTTCTACTACTGCATAATGCTGCATTGCAGAAAAAAACAGTAATGGTATGTCAAAGCTGAGGGCTGATCAAAAATGAAGATAAACATGTTTCCACTGATTTATGAAAAAAACATTGCTGTTTTATTTTCAGAGTAGGATGAAGCTTAGTCATAAGGGAAGAGAAGTAATAAGGAAGTTCTTTCTGTAAGACAGTGATGCTCAAATTGTAAATTCTAGTTTATGGATTCCAGTTTACTGCTGCATTAATCATTCAGAAGTGATCTATATCTTGTTCCAAACATGCATCTAGGTTCAAAGTAAAGGTGGGTGCAGATCTACGGGATAATACCTGTAGATGCAAAGTTGTACGAGAAATTATTAGCCCAGATAAAATAATGGTGGATATAACTTTTTGCTACTATACTATGTTATTTTCTATTTAAAACCATTAGATGAAATATCTCTTATTATATACAGTTCTTGACAAATATTTTTTATTCTTTCTTCAAATCCTGAATAACGATGACACCAAATGTTGATGTGTATCAACAAAGAGCAGTATTGAACATGACCAGAGAAGATGTATTACTAAGAATTTTATCCTGTATTTCTGTGCCAGAACTTCCATTCAGTTCTGCAGGGGAACTCCACTTCCAGGACCATCTTCTAGAAGATTTGAAGTGTCTTTTATATCCAGGGAGGCTTCCAGAGGAAAGTCTGTTAATATTTTTTCGCCTATGTTTGGCCAAAAATAAACTGGAAAATAAGTTTTTCAAACTACAATATTTGAATGAAAAGGAATAATTTGATGGAAGTCACACATTTTGATTTGGAAATGTTACTCTGTTGACTGCTATGGGCTGGATTCTTTGCCCCATGTGTTCCCTGGCACACCACAGCTGCCAACCTACTCTGGGGGCTGCAGCGCTGCACAGAGCTTTCGTGGGATGCCATATACCATGAAATGCCAAAACAGGAATTCTGTGAATACAGGGTGGCAAGGACCTGAAGGGCCTGTTTAACTTTTTGTAGGGAGAAAAATTCTCCCTTGTGTGGGAGAGAAGTGCTGCTTGAGAAACTACTGCATTTTTTTTTTTTTGTCAAGAAGCTTTTCTGCTGAAAATTTCAGGCAGCGATGTCCATGCTTTAGGGGGCTTTACTCAAGTATCTGCTGCCAAGTATCTGCTCATTCCCACAGAATACTCTGCTCTACTTCCTAGAGCTCCTGATTTGCTTGGTTCAAACCTAGTCTGGATATCACTATAGTCATTGCAACTCCGCGTAAATGTGGCCAAAAGTACAATACAGACAGAATGGCAATTCCAGCTTTTCATTTTCTTTTTATTTCCTGAATTTCTACCACTTCATATCCATTTTGCAGCTCTTTTATGAGAGTTTGACATAAAAAATGTCAATAGAATCCTTCAGTGTATTTGATTCTTTTTCCCTTATCCCCAGATGCTGGTTGCAAACCAACAATGGGAAATAAAGGAAGCAATAGAGTGGCTCACTAAACCAGCTGAGTTTAAACCCTCATGGATTAAAGAGCCAACTTTTCCAGATGAGGATATGCATATCCAGATGGGACTCACAACCATTCCAAAGGTTGGAGAGTTAAATTTTTATTTCAGTAATAACACAGTGACTCCAGTCAGTACTGTAGTGTAATGTTGATACTGTTCCTTCGCATATTCAGAGTTCAGGTTGAATTAGTTATTCAGAGTACCATTAAATGTATTTGCTACTGGACCTCGATGCACATTCTGCACCTGTATTCCCTTAAGTTTAAAGAAATAGTTTGTTTCTAAAAAGGTATGTAAAAGGACTGTAATGCCTGCATGAGGAAGGCTGCCAACATTTAGTATAAAATGTGCATGGGCTTGTTTAAAAAATGTGTGGTTTCCAGTGAAATTGGAAGTTCGGTTCAGAATTTGTGCTCCCAACATGCTACACTTAGCAGCACTGTTAAAACCCCAGATATACAGTATCTGCATTTCTTTACTGCTCCATACACTCTGCTATGTAATTCTTTACATGGCTTGTGGAGCAGAGAAAGCAGAAAAAAAAAATCAATAAAAAGTTTTATAACATATGTTACGTTTTCTATAAAATGAGTAGAAAACTGTATGCTGAATCATCTCTTATTCCATCCTTTATGCTACTGAGTAACTCCATTGGGAATTAAAAACCAGAAGCAAGTCTTGAATGTTTGTTTTTAACTTGCAGGCCTTAGCACTGCTAGGAATTGTGTGGCAACCAGAGAACGTGTGAGTGTATGTGTAAGTGCTTCGGGCTTTTTTCTAATTATTACTTGTTTAATGCAACTACTGCATAACCTTTGGAGCTGGTGCCAAAACTCCTTTGCATTTCTCACTAAAGTTAAATGCCACAGCTGAAAATTATTTGTTATCTATTTCAGCTATTCCCTACCAAGGTTGCGTCCCTTCACCTTATCTCCCTGGCTCATTCTTCCCACACATGATTTCTGTGAGCAACCTGGAAATACCTGATTTTTTAATTATTATTATGAGAGTATCTGCTAAAATTTCATATTCTCACATCAGTGAGGAAAGAATGCATCCATGATCATGATTGCCCTGATGAAAGGTAGAGAAGCAAGGTACAAAGAGTAAGTCCATGCTGCTCCATGGAGCACACTGCAGCTCCATGGGACAACTTGGGTAATGTCTGTGCAGAACAGTGTAGGCTGGACGATGTGATCTGTAGAGAGGTGCAGGGCTGCTGAAGGTGATATCCCCTGTAGCCCAAGGATAATTATCACAGATCCCATTTCACTGTGGGTTTGGTGCTTAAGCGAGTGTTTTGCTCAGCTCAGCAGCACATGTGTAGACATGACATTGCAAGGGCTATATGAAGGAGTGGGTTTTAGAGTTGAGAGGCTCCTGGCTTCTCTTCTTCTATCAGCTCTATTTGTGCTGCACTAACTCTACTGTAAAGATTGAAATCTGAGAAAATCATGCAGTTAGCAAGCTGTAGTTCACCCTCTCGGTGGCACCAGGGGCAGTGCCAGGGGTGCAGGGAGGGCTGGGGAGCCAGGAGCTGACAGCACGGCTGGTCTGGGGGTGGCAGCCAGGGTCAACTGAGGAGGTTGCCAGACGAGGTCATGGTGAGGAGAGAGCTCTGAGGGCAGGGTCTGGCCCAATGACAGGGACCAGGGTCAGACACAGCCCAGTGACTGCCAGCCTGTCCACGGTGATGAAGTCGGACCCAGGTTGAGCTGGGCTGTCAACCTGCTCTCCAGGGTCCGGATCAGTTAGGCGCACAGCTTGGCACAGCTGCAATGCGACGGGAGATGGTCACACCTGGGGATAGCTCAGGCAGGGACTGGGAGCCATGGCCTGAGTCGAGATGGGTCCTGAGGACAGGCGTGTGGGGGGAAGCCTCCGGTGAGGCTGGACAGGGCCAGCAAGGCCACTCCTGCCCTCAGTGCCCTGGGGGCAGCCCCCCCCCCTCCACCGGAGGCATGTGTCCTCCCACCCAACAGAGGTCTGGGCTCAGATGGGACTTGCTGAAGAATGATTTAATTGCTGTGGGGTGTTGGGGCATTTCGGGGGACACAGAGCCAGGGTGGGGACAGGGAAATGGAAAAGGGACATGGAGGGGGGGAAAAATTGGAGCCAGGTTGGGGGGCTCAGGCAAACCCTGAGTAGCTCCAGAGGCTTGGCAAGCTCATGTGCGGGCAAAGAGGGGGTTCTTAGATGGTCCCCAAGGAGCCCTGAAGCACCCCTGTGAGGTATTCACTCAGAAGCTTGGGTTTAGGCAGGGGCTGGTGCTGTGGCAGGGTCAGAGCCCAGAGCCAGGCCAGGTTTATAGGGCAAGGCCTGGCACAGCCATGGGCCTGGATCTGTGGTGCTGCCTTAGGGCTTGAGGCAGCCTGAGAGAACTGGCAGGGGGCCACAGAGGCCAGCTGCTCCCAGGGGAGGGGGAGCTGCCGGGGGTCCCCATGGGGGCAGCAGGGCAGAGGCCTCCCAGCCCGGCCTGGCGGGGGGCAGTGGGGTAGCCTCAGCCCCAAGCACTGGGCACCTCCCTGGGGAGAAGGACGGGGATGGGCTGAGGCCAGGCCAGGCCAGCAGTGTGCCAGCAGGGCTGAGGATCAGGCCTGGTGAGGGGAACTAAGGTCTGACACAGCCCAGGGTGTGCCCAGGCAGGGCCATGGCAGAGCAGGGCCACGGTCACAAGGCCACATCGAGGTGTTGGTCCATGGCCAGATGTGCCCACAGCTGTACCACAGCTGGAAGCAGGTACACCTGCAATGCAGCCCAGGCAGAAACTAAAGCCCGTGGGTCAAGGATGTGGGCCCGAGGTGGGACTGGTCAGGGTGAGGACTGTCGCTGTGCTCAGTGCCCTGTCTGGCCTTAGGAGGAATTTCGCCTGTATATATGCAGCTATTTTATAAGGTTGAAACCTTCCCTGTCTCCCAAGGAAGCTTGTCACTAGCATTAGTAGTAAGTCACTGCCATCAGATGTGTTTAAACACTTTTCACATGAAATATTTTTAATGAGTCCAAAGACCAGAACTAATTCCCAGATATATCATAAGTAGCGAGGTGTCAGTAGACAGGCTGGTACCTTCTAGAGTACCGCTCTCCAACCTGAAGAAAATTGTTCTTTATTGCACCCATCTCTTTGCCAGGTCTTGACACCATATCTACAGAGCCAAACAACGTGAATTAACAAATCTCCGGTTCTCTGCAGCAACTGGAGACAACAGCGACTGCATGAGCATAGTGTCTCTGCTGCCAGGTTCTCATGCCAAGCCCTGCTATCAATATATTTCATTGTGCTTCTCGCTCTTAGCTGTTGTCTACCAGTAGATAGGACACTTAATTCGGGGAGGGGTGTGTTTTATAATGAACATCTATTAGGATGGGTTTGAATTACCCATTAGTATAGCCTTGCTTTACAAAGTAAAGCCCAGTCCTGAATACTGGCTTTACTTGATGGTTTGTATAACCTTTTTCTTCTTTTCACCATAACATCTGAGAACCACATAAGCATTTAATGTATTTATCCACAGAATTCCCCTGTGAATAAGGGGAGTACTATTATCTGTACTACAAACACGGGAAATTAATGTGAGGCCTGAACTGACTGAACAACTTAGCCAAGCTCCAGACAGAAAATCTGTAGCACAGCTAAAAATGGAATCCTGACTCTTATCCAAGCGTATCTTGTCTACAAGGCCATCTTTCATCTGGCTGGACTGGTCTACTGAAGAAGGAATGAGTTCCTACAGCAGAATCACTGCTATATTCACTTTAGCTGTATCTAAACAGGAACGTCTGCTCATTCACATAGGCAAGCACATCCCAAAGCTGTGCAGTCCTGAGCATGCTGAAGTGGGGCTAAGACAGTCCGGTCCCCAATGTACCCCAAATCCCTGCCTGGGGACACAGTGGCATGACCGGGGGGGGGTGTGTCATTCAACTTCTCATGTGATCTCTCGTTTAAATGGAGTAATTAAAATAATTTGGATTTATTGAGACACACAGAAGGGACACTATACAAATGTTTTTATATGAGTTGCCAGCAGCTCTTGTAATACGTTAATCTGGGAGACTTCAGGTATTAACTTTTTATTTTCTCCAGTGCACTGCCACAACAGAGTAATCTTTAAACAGCTTCTACAAGCTAAGGCCTGGAGTTATGTCCAAATTGACAGCTGCAGGCTGGGAAGTGTGAATGAAAATTTGTCTGTGGCTGCTGATGACCAAAAAGTTCCAGAGTAAGGCACTGCAAAATGAAGCAGCAATGAGAAAATCTTTCTGTCCCCACCCTCCAAGCTAGTCTGATTAGTTTCTTCAGCTGTCATGCTTGTGATTTCTCAGCATAAGCTTGCATGCTCTGCTGTAATTTTCTGTATTTCATGTCATGCTGTAGAGCTGCACCAAAGCACTTTCGATGTTTTGGTTTGGGGCTCCATCTTTCTCTCGTCTGGACTTGGGGGTCTCTGTGAACTAGTCCAGCATTCGATAATATTTGATTATATCCCAGTATCTGAAAGCCTTGAAAGCAAGTTAGTTATACAAAATACTCCAGCAGCAATTGACTATAGTGATCGTTCTTTTTTTTTCTTAAAAAAGATGTTGCTAAATGGTGGTCACAGCATGCATCTGTCTTGTTACTCTACAAGCCCAGCTACCTGCGGGCTACAAAGGGAAGTTAGAAGTGTGGATTAAACTTTAAGCAGGTGAAAGTGAACAGTTTGTGGTTTTGATAAAAGTACTTGAAACCTGGGCTGTGTTCCATATTCAGACACTTTACAGATGCCAGTGACTATGGTGGCAAACTGACCAAGTCAAACTAATTAACAGACTATTGATTTTGATGGCTTAACAGGTAGGTGTTTATCTCAAAATTCAGAAACAGTTCCTTCTTTTCTGAACCCTCATCGGTCATGACCAGGCAACTAATATTCTTTCTGGTATTGCAGTAAGGCCAATTTTGCACGCCATCACAACATGTCAGAAATAATGTGGGTTACGAAAGTTTGTCTAAGAAGGTAGAACATAGAGGGAGTTAGTATTTGAGCAAAGTGGTAAGAAATTTCTTTGCCATCTCCAAGTTGATTGAATTACCCTTGGAGAGTGGGGAAATGATAAAAGGATGCATTCGGAGGAGGAATGACAGAAGAGAGGAAACTCTTCAAGGCCAAAATATGAGGCAGAATGAGTGTAGCAGTCAGCAGCGCAAATGGCAAGGACTCAGAAATGCTATGGATATGCAGAGCTGGTAAGGAACTGACGTCTAATGCCACCTGTACAGCCCTTTAAGTCATCAGCTGGGGAGTGTGTGGGACAGGGAACTGCTGGGACAGTTTATTCATCAGGAAGTAAGTCCAAGAACACCCCCTGGTTTCAGCAGGTCCTGTGGGTTCCTTTCATAGCTTCCTAAAAGGATCTAACAATAATGTCCCGTGTTTTGTCTAAAATACTGCTCTGAATATAGCCTGCAGTCATACTAGTCAATTTTGCAGCAGTGAACAGTCTTCATACTCGGCAAATCAAAACAGGAGTACCTCCTGTTTAAGTCTATATATCAAAATTCTTTGAATACTCGGGTTTTTTGCTTGAAATCATGTAAGTCTCATATCTATTAATTTAAAGCATGTATTTTCACTGTTATTCTCATTAAGATCTGCTGTCTAAAGTCTGCTTTTTACATCTTTCTGCTCTTTTGAGTAGCATAAACCTTCCTGGACTTCAAGGTAGACGCTTCATTTCAGCAACTGCTATTGGTAGTAAATTGTGCTGATGAAGGGGAACAGTGAAGTTGTGGTTAATTCCTCTTCCAGAGCTGTATATATTGGTCTGTTTAAGCATGCTCTGTATGCCCATACACCTGTGTGAGAATAGACCATTTGTCATGTTTCATAAAGGTAATACTTCAAAGGGTTTTTTAAGTTTTCCTTCTGATTGGACTAACTCCTCTTTAACTTACGAAATGATTCCCATTCTAAATTATTCTCTTGGCTGGGTCTTCCTGTCCTGGTTAACTTCACTGAGACTGCTAATTCCCACTAGTCAGGCCCTGAGGCCAACATTTTGTTTCACATCCTCTCTGGCTATACTTGCTAAAATGCCCTGCAGATTCCACCTCATCTGACATGTTACATAAAGTGGTTTCCAGCAAAAGGAACTCAACTTGCTAAGTGTAGGCAGAACTGTTAAGTGAATTTGCAACTTAAACTGTTTTCTTGTATGCTAGAGGACTGTAAATACACTCAAGAACTTTCAACTTATAAAAGTATACACATGGTAAGAACTTGCTGACAACCTAAAGCTGGGAGGCATCATTAATGCAGGTGACACCTCAAATATCTGAACTAGATTACTTTAAAATATAAGACTGCTACATGAAAAATATAAGACTGCTAAGATGAAATTTATTGGAAGAAGCATGTGATGTGGGGTTCAGGTCTAGTAACAAGAATACCACTATCTGTGTGTTCAGTAATTTGAAAGCAGACTCGAATGTGTTTAACTACTGGTGATGGAGTGTCCATTTAATGCAGCCTCAGAAAAAGATAGGTTTGATTCTTCCATGTATCAAGTTTCTCATATGATCTCAGATGAAATAGCACATACAGTCTGATCATCTCTGTTCAAGAAAGATGGACTACAGTAGATACTGCGGAGAACCTTCCCAATAAGTAGTGACCTATTTACATCTGATGTACTTAGAAAAGGTAATGACATCTGCTTTCTGCAATTTCGTTGTGTTGGTCTAAATGTAGGAAAAGAGAACAACAATTTAAGCTTAAAAAGTCCTACTTGATGGAAATTCAAAACCAAGTTATCTTCTAAGACTAATGTCCTGAATGCATTTTCAGCAGCAAACGAGGGTAGAAAGACACCACTAGTTTTACGGTGAAAGCTGCAATTGCTTTATGTAAGGAAATTTCCTACGTGCCACCTCAGGTATGCTGCAAAGTATCATCTCCACTGCAGTGAAAGACTTGCAAGGCTTAATACGTAAAGCAGACCTTTCATGTGGTCTTCAGTACACTTATACTGAAAAATGGGGTAAGAGATGGACTAATATGGTGAAGATGTAGGGTTATGGATTTATACCCTCTAAATGCAAAGTGTGAAGCTGAAAGGAGCGTAACCCTAGTCAGAACTCAATCCTAGGAATGGACGAGGTCTGTCTAATAGTTTGTGTTGCTGACTCACCTAGCTAAGATGTAAAGAGATTAAGAGAGTTGCCTCAACATTTGTGATCCTTCACAGCTTTAACCAGGCAACAGGGATAGACTGAGACTGATTGGGAAGAAGATTCCCACTAGCTTTTCAGACAGGCTCAAAGGAAGATACAAATTCCTACTTCAATCTTGAAGAGCTAAGGATGTTTGTTACTCAACTGCAACGTCTTCATTGTCTGAATGGCTGAAAAAATCTGTAAAAGATGTGGATGTTCCACTGAAATGAAAGAATATTCTGCAAGAAACTATCCATTTCCAGAGGGAGAAGTTTGGCAGAAGCTCCTTTTCAGTCAAAAGGCACAACAGCATTGACTATTTAACCCTGTAAGATTTTAGCTGAGAAGTAGGTTCCTCAAACTTAATTTTGAGTGCATGACATGACTTAGTTTGAAGATCAGCGATCAGTATAATGAAGATCAGTACAATGAGATTTGCAAACAACTTTGATGCAAAACGTGCTTCTGAAGGCTATGATCAGTTGGTTTAAAAAAGATGCAAGTCCTTTTATTCAGGCCTCTGAATGAATGGAATAAAAGCACACTGTTTATTAAATTCTTAGATTTATCTCAAATTGTACAATTTGACAATATTTACCATTGTTTACTGATTAAACATTAATCAAGATATTTCAAATAAAAATGACTATGCATTTCTCCACGTGTTCAAATATGTATTGAATATGCTGCATCTGAATGTTAACTGTACATCTATTCACAACTGAATTCTTAAAGAGGAATTTTATAAGGCTGAAGTTACTGCAGAATTTGCAAGGATAAGGAGAGATGAAAGCTGAATTCTGCTAAGATTTAATTAATAAGCTCCAATCCTGTAAATACTATCATCTCTCCAGTAGGAGCAGTAAAAGACTAAGGACTAAGGACTTTTACTTAGTCCATATGTCTGTGGGATCTGGTCTTAAACCATGACAGACATTGTTGCTAATACTACCTAGTAGCCTCTGTTTAACTACAGGTTTCTTTGATTTCTATCAAATTCATCATTCATGTAGGGTTGGGGAATAAAACAAATGCTGATACAGAAATGTTATGCAGAGATTGCATTTCAGACAAAGCTCCATTAAGATCTTTTGTTTTCTTGCTGGTTCATATATGAAGACCATGGGAAGTTTGAGTTTATTTTTTCTTGCTAGATCTCACCCTCCAACATCCTAAAGTAAAACAGAATTTACCTTTGCTTTCCAACTCACATTTACTACTAACTATAAGGAAACATACTAAAATTAAAAATGCATCATCCCTTCCAAAAGATTTTTTTAAAAAGCTTTATTAAACATATACTCTTTAGAACATACTTAAAGCCTTCTACAACCATGAAGGAATCCTCTATCGTACATAAAAGTTCTTATTTTCAGTACTAAATGAAGCATGTAAGCGCTACTCACACACAGTAACTGAATGATAACAGAAGTGGCCACCGGTAACTGAAACAACGGGCAGAAAACTCTCTCGCTAACAACTTAAAACCGGGTTAGCATCTGCGTAGTACAGCGGGAATAAATAATCACCTGTTCCGTACGACTAGAGTTTAGTATTGAAGACAGTACTGGTCGTCTACTACCTGTTTCTTTTTCAATAACAAAGTATGTATCTTTTGAAGTACGTAAAACTCCCGTAACTTTAAGGACAGAGAAAGCTAAGCAGCTTAGGTACACTGGCACATTAATAGAAGCTGGTTTATTGCATTAAACAGCCATCTCCATTTTAATAGGTGGATGAGGATTATAATCTTCAATCTGAAAGTCTTCTGCCTTAAAGTCACAGATGTCTTCAACCTTACGAAGAATTCTGAGTTTGGGGAAAGGTCTTGGCTCCCTCTGAAGCTGAAATAAAAGCAAGCTTAATTGTATAAAGCTAATACTTGAACGCAGAGATTTTGTGTTATAAATCAGATCTCATTAATCTCAATTCAGATTACACTATGTAGATTTTGTCTCCTCTCCAGGAAGACTTATACTAAAAAAAAAAAAAAAAAAAAAAAAAAGAAAATTATAATCCAGTTAGGTTGAATCTACTTTAGTATTTTGATAGGGAACAGCAGCCTAATTTTAAAGCGGATTCCCTGATCATCCAAATGCGCTGCCAGCATTTTCAGTTTGCAGAGCGATTCTGTTGGTTACAGATTAGATACCTTCCAGAGGAAGCTAAACTGGAAATTCTGACCAAGATGAGCATCAAATGTGCTGCAGTTTCTCACAGAACATTTGCGTCAGAACCAATAACTAGTTCTCGGGATGGTTTTGAACCCTACGAATGGTGAGGACATTCAGTCTGAGTTAAGTCTAATGAAATAAAATTCTGATTTGCTCCTACTGGAATAAATTACTTCCTGAAGAAAACAGAGCCTTATCCAGCCATATAGTAATGCTGATTAACTCTGTGCATTGATAAGTTATCCTTTTCTGATATACTACAAAGACATTTTATTTTGTGTTTATCTGTATTCGGTGGAATGGTTTTCTAATCTTTTGGAATGATGAAGTCAAAAGTAGGGGTACAGATTCTGGATCTCTAACTTGTTTCTGGAATAGCACACTGATGTATATTTCAATCATGTTTGTATTGTATTTCTGTTTGCAACCTGAGTTGAACAGAGGTGAAGGTACTACAATTATTAGGGTAGGAATGAGAAGAAAAGCCATACAAATTAATATTTGCAAAACAGTATTTCCAATACCAAAATAACTTTTTATTGAATAAGCATTGTGGAAGATAAAAGGATACAAGAATACAGAATAAGTACTTACTTGAACTTTCAGAGGTTCCACATGATTCAGATATACGTGAGCATCTCCTAATGTGTGTATGAACTCTCCAGGCTGAAGAGGAGAATATATGTCATTTTCAAATAGTCAGGTTTCAAGAAAGCAAAACATTACAATGCTTACAGTATTGATTGTTAGCATCTTACATCTAGTGTGGAATTGCAGCTTCTGTACTTGAATGGATTATCAAGACATCCTTGCAAACTTTGAAGGACACTATCTTCCTAGACTAATGCATAATTAATGAAAAATATAATGAAATTTCCACTAGCTTACCAAAAAAGTTATCTTTGAAATCCTGCTAGGATAATAGCTTTGGTAAATGAATGAAGCACTACTAATCTGCTCCCCAAGACGGCAACAGATCGGAAAGTGACATCCAGCTTTTCCACTCCACTTCTAATAGGTAGGATTTGCCAAAGTTGTTTTCAAACTAGTTGCTGTAGCTGCTACTGAACAATGTAGTTCGTGGCAGTGGAGGTGTCAGTCACAGGCTAAATCTCAAAGCACGTATCTAGCGTCCAGATGGGTTTTGCAATCTTGCAAGTTCTGTCACTTACCAGCCTCTGAGCAATCTAATATATTAAGGTAAGTTTTATCAACTATTATTCTGGCCTCTGACCAACGTACATCAGCCCTCAGATGTATTATGCTAAAAATCACCAAAGCTGTGAGACGAAATGGCTGAGAAACAACAGCAGCTTTATGGACGTAACGTTAAACTTAACTTTTTCGAGTACCTTAGCCTAATTTCTTCCGTTTGTCTGCAACTGCTGTGAAGTCCAATTCTTCCCTACTTTCCTATTTTAAGTTCCCCTTCATGTTGCTCGTAGGAGGAGGATCAGGCCAAATGGCCTTACTAGTATAATTTTTTACATGCTGTAAAGAAAAGGGGGTTTCCACTTCTATAAGATTGTGGGGCATTTAAATTACTCTGCCAAATTACAAAATACAGCTCTGGAGTCACAGCAGTAGCTATTTGAGCACATACTACCACTCTACGTAATCATCCACAGTAGGAAATGAAAAAAATACCCAGCTGAAATCATAACTGGAAGTTAGGTGGGCAGAATATCCAAATTGGAACCCTGACAGCAACCGCTGAGCTACCGTTCGCTTCCAATAAAAAACACATGCTACAAAATTTAATCACTTGTACGTTATTATCCCGTAAGGACAAGTGCTCAGTTCCAATTTTTAAGAAGTAGACTAGTGGAACAGGTCGGTTTTGACATGTTCAGTGAAAAAGACCTGGAGGATCTTCTGTCTGTTTGACCCGAATTTAAGAATTCTTACATTGCTGATCCTAACTGCCCATACTGACCAGAGACAACTCACATTAAATTCACAGGGCTCTTTCTTACACATTTTTCAGCAAGATTTTGAACAGCGTATTCATTCCAGTTTTTCTCGGACACGACATGAAGAGTCTTATCTTTTAGTCCCTCACTTCTCAGACAAGATTAAGTAAAATGATTAAATAGCCTACCTTTAGCCCTGTGACATGGGCAATCATGTATGTGAGCAGTGAATAGCTGGCAATATTGAAAGGCACTCCTAGTCCCATATCTCCAGACCTCTGATAGAGTTGGCAAGACAATTCACCATTTAGAACATAGAACTGGCAAAGGGCGTGGCACGGAGGCAAAGCCATCAGAGAAATATCTAGGAATTGCAGTGGAGGAAGGTGGGGGAAAAAAGAATCGTAACAGCATTAGTGTGCTATCAATGTAGAAGGTGCAAAACCTGAACAAGCATTTAATGAGACACAGTATAGCACAAACATCCAACTGCACTATCATTCTGTTGCTTTTTCTCTTGTCTAAAAGCACCTGCTGCCTAAGCAATTAAGTCTGGGTCATGACAAGCTGTCTCCTGGGCTGTATGACCAGAAAAGTCATAAACGGATATTCCATAGAACAGATTTATGCCACAATGCTGCACAGCAGTTTAGTTTTACTCACCTCGAGACAGTTGATTTCCCTAAAGGAAGACATTAAGAGTAAAATTAAGCATTTACCCCAGAGCGACTTCCAACTGCTTCATCCTACTCTCTTCCCATTGCAATGCGCCTTTAGTGCTTGTTGAGATACAAAAGTAATGATCAAGAAAAAAAAATAATCAGAAAACAAAAGATCTTTTGAGTGTTTATCTACACTTTAAAGTGCAGATAGTGCAATTACAGCTTGGCAAGGAAAACTTTAACTAGACATCTCCTGATATCTGAGAATGTTTAACCTTAAAAATAACAGCAACAGCATATGGCATCCCGTTTCAGAGACATGAGTGGAAAATGCTGGGTGATTTTTTTTGTGCACAGATCTGCCGCTGCTGAAGTTAAACATTCTCTGGCACCAGCTCTTATTTAGACATGGCCCTACAGAGTGAATGGATATGTAGATAATCTACATTCAAGGAGATGACTACAACACAAGTAATATTTTTATTCTCTAGTTTTAAGGTTTTTGTTAAATTCACAATTTATTATATGGCTAAAAAACAGACATACTGCTTTGGTACACTCTTTTTTTTTAACCTTTGCTTTTTTTTTAACCTTTTTAAAATAAGAATTGCTGTCTTTGAACAGGGACTGCATGTCAAAGGCACTGGTAGCCAGGTATATCCCTTGCTTTAACCTGGAGAGAAAAACTTTGAAGTAACAGTTCAAAAATTTTGAGGTCTGGCCATGAGAATTAAGTAGAAAGAGAATCCAGCTTATAGGCCCTGGCCATTTTTACTGCATTCCTGGTAGCTTTATAAGGAATAAGCAAGGACATCAAATGGAACTGACTGTTGACACAGGATTAGAACATCGTTTAGCATACAGCAAGATAATGTGCAACTGCATTCACTGAAGTCTGCTGTCCAATACCTTTGGGATTCCAAGCACACATAATGATTCTTCTGTCATCTGGATTGGTTTTGATCATTTCAATCACTTTTTGCAACTGATCAACTCCTTGGTTGGAGTAATCTGAAGAAAGATACCAAATAAGCCAGACAGATTCAATTCATGGTATTTTTTTTAAAGCCCAGCCCACATCCCACTGAAAAGTGATACCCAAATGACATCCTCTGACGAATTTATGGTAACTCTGAAAGTGATTAAATTTATCAGTTGGCACCCTCCAAATGCAGGCTACTCTTGGTCTTCCTTCGGGTGGTCTAAGGCTTGTGAAATTCTCATGATGGTATTTTCGTATGTCCCCCCCATGTCTTTTGTGTGGTTTGAGTACCTTTAGCACCCACTGAAACAGGACCATTTAGAACAGTTTATTCCAAGCCTCAACAACTAGACTTCTTTTAAGACCCAACAAGAAGTCTGCATAAACACTACATCCCAGGAAACAAAAGTTGCAATACAAAAATATTAGTTAGACAAAGCATGCTACTTCACCATTCATGATGACTTGTTACCTAAATAGGACAAAAGCTGTACTGGAAGGGGCAAGATATTACCACCTTGTCATTCATGGTATTTAAATTAATTTGCTCATTGCATTTCTGGATTAAGATGCTTTTCTAGAGGTTCAACTTGCATGACGATACAGTGCTCCTTCTCAAATAAAAAAAAAAATTAAAAAATGCCCAGACCAGTAGCATGGGGTGCTGGCATTCTTTGCACACTCAGAAGGAGAAAGTTTTTGACAGATAAATAAATGCGTCCATCTGGCACTCACGAGGTCATGTATGAAAACTAAATTCCCATAGCATTTAGTGCCAGAGGGGAACTTTAATCATGTATAGCACAGGATATTACATTTCACCCAACGACTCTCGCAGGCTGATTTTTAGACTCAATACCAGTTATATAAGAAATTCACTGGAATTAACTGAACATTAGAATGGATTCCAGAACAAAAGAGTCATTAGTTGTTACTCATTGTTCTGAATCATGCCAGTGAATCAGCACAGCTGGTAACTTATTTTTTTTCTAGTAACTCTTACTGCAAAGAAACACCAAATTATGGTTACAGGGAGACCCAAACTGGCAAACAAGGTAGTAATATATAATTAGCATCTCAGGGAATTCTTCTGCCAGCAATACTATGCCAGAAGCCTTTTCAAATTATTGTGTTAGTTCCTAAAGCTAATTACTTATCCATTAGTAACGCATTTTAACGAAATCTATTAGTAATGAAACCTATGGGAATTTATCTTGTTCATTTTTTCCAAGCTATGTTATGCCTCAGACTTTTTAAGTTAAGGAATGCTAAAACCTTTTACTAAGTTTTTAGATGTGTCAGTTCACAATTTGCATCATTTGTGTTAGCAATTGTATTCTGCCAGCAGTCAACAGGCCAATACTAAGTCTAATACATGTAACTAATGTGAACTTTGAGACTGTATTGACAAAAAAAAAAAAAAACAAGAGGAAAAAACATAATTAACCATGTTGTTATTCTGAGTTAAAAGTAACACCAACCAGATAGGGGCAATCTTTTATGACTTTAATGGCAGTCCTCTCAATGTTTTGTACACCCCCTCCTTCAGTGACTTAGAAAAGAGCCATCAAGACACTTCAGGGTACATTTAATGAAGCAGTTCCACTGAAAATAATGCCAACATGTACTGCATCACATCATAACTTGTTACAGCAATCCTGTCCACGGCATCATCAGCTGTGGATACATCCTACTTTGTTCCAGGTGCAGAATGGAAAAATCTTTCTTTTCCGCAGTCTCCAATGAGTGTAGTGCACTAACGTCAGTTTTGCCAGCACAATTCTATCATGGAAATGAGGACCCTGCATTGGTATTCTGGAGGTGAGGTGTCCTCATCATTTCACTAAGCAATCATGATTGTATTTGTATGTGATTACCTGTGTGCATATCTTTGTATTCTGCTCCAAAGTGCCTCCACTGGAAACCATAAACTGGTCCCAAATCCCCCTCCTCTCTGGTGTTGAAACCCTGCTTATCCAGGAACTCACGTGATCCATTAGCATCCCAAATCTTCACACCCTTTGCGGACAGCTCTTTGGCATTTGTAGAACCCTACAAAACACAGACAGTAAGGAGTCTACATCCTAATCCCAACACAGAGGACATGATTTGAAACAGCTGTATTAAGCTTTGCTAGTCTACAGTACTTCTCCATATATAAAGGATGAACAGTATGGTTAATGTACTGGATGAGATTCTTGTACATGGACACAATAGGACTTATGGGCAACACACCAGGATGAAGCTTGAAGTGCCATGCTGCTGTTATTTAACTCAGGATTCTTCTAACTTTGTGAATGTACAAACAGTACAGTCTCAAGGTCAACTGGTATATAATTTCATATGCACATTTGCAGAGAACGAGATTTCATTTGACAGATGGATAAAAGCAGGCAAACAAAAAATTTACAGCCTACTCATTGTCTTTGCCAAGCCACGTATAATGAGCCTACGGTCTTAAAAATCCTTTTATTAAAATGACAAAAACGACAAATATGACAAAATGACCCAGAGAAATCTTACCAAGCCCTGCAACATGTCCAAATCACTACGCTCAAAAATCCAACGCAGAAAGTGTTCTGTTTTGGGGAGTGTCTAGTCTTTTGTATTTGAATAAATATTCTTTTTTAAAAAAAAGAATCTGTATTTGAGTCCTGCTGTCTAGCAAACGGTTAGGTAGACTTCCCAAAACCTGCACAATGTCACAACATATACAGGAGCACTTTAGATCCTAATATATTATCTACAGTTGAATTTTAATACTCTAACTACAGCTATTAGCTCCATTAGATCTCAGGGTTTTGCTACTGAAGAGCGTAGTGTTTACATCAGTCTTACTTCATCTGTGATTCCACGCTGCTTATTCCTGTTCAAATCAATAAATGCTATCTCAATACTAAAAAGCAGATAATTAAGTTGCCTACAATCAACTTCACATTATTATTTCTTATTCAAACACTAATAAAAGAGACTGTACTAGGCTGTATAACTATGGGGTATAGGTAAATTGTTGAAAGCCCTCATTATTTCAGACTATTTCCCTTAAAAAGAAACAGAAGAAGTCTTCTGATTGGTAACAATGCTATAGTCTCTACTAAAATGCACAGAATGCTGTAAAGATAATGGCCTTCCATGCGTAGTCAAAATATTCGGTGCTTGCACTTCTTCTGTTCTGTTGTATGAACAGAAGCATCTGCAGTCACCCCAAATTCCTTAATCCATTCCACGCTAGTTCGTTCTATTGATACCGCTCTCAAGCACACCGCCCAGACATCCAAACACCGAACCTTGATGAACCACAGCAGCTCCTCCAGCACTCCTTTCCAGAATACCCTCTTGGTTGTCAGCAGTGGAAACTGATCTGAAAAAGAGTTTCAGAGTGTCACAGGTGACCAGCAGTTTGTCAGGGTGACCTCCATATTGAGAATAATGCCACCATCTGACATCCAGAGGTTTGGATATGAAGTAAGAAGTTGGTAAAGGATGTGTAATTCTCATATTCAGATCAAGGAAGACAAGAACCAGACTTTTATTTTCCTGGGCAAAGTGGGAAGATGAATTACCCGTGGGGACTTTGATGAACTCCGCCCTGAACACGCTGCGGTGCACCATACGTATGCATGTGTAGGCATTCGCATGGGAAAGTGGGGGCTAAATATAAAACTCTTGGCAAATCTACTTCACAAACCATCCCTCCTACTATGCTTGAACGGTAGGAAGGACCAGGACCGGCTATCTCAAGATCTTTCCCGTTTTTCACCAGGTGACAGCTATGGGGCCGGGCCAGGCCTGGCTGCTGGGCCGAGGGAGAGGAGGGGTCCCAGCTGACGCACGCTGCCGGGCAGGTAGAGGGCGAGAAGGCGAAGGAGCTGAGGGTACAGACCAAAACACCCCTCCAGGCCCCCGGAGCCGGTCCGAGCCCCAGCCCTGAGCGGGGGGAGGCCTGGCCCTC